CATTCCCCAGCCCTCCCTTCACCCTCTCCATCCTTCCCTGTTTACAATGACATTGTCCCCATGATTTTCCTTTTCACATATTTTTCTTTTCCCTTTTTCCCTTTCCCCTACCTCTCCTACTTCCTCTACTCTTTTAGACCTTTTCTTCCTATTATGCAATATCAATTATACATTTTGATCCTTATTTGCACTTTTAGTTTTTCACACCAGAGTTTCTCTGGTATAGCACTTGTTTTTAAACTGGGTATGAGCCTCAGTGGATCGTAATTCCTAAATTAAGCACATCCAGTGTCATTTCAAATAAAAGTGAAGACAATAGAAAGTATCAGTAAGTGATTGTTAGTAAGAGTATTATTATTTTCTAGAAAAATATTTAAAAGCACAATTTTATTGAATAATAAATGAAGAATAAGTAAATTATTTTAGAATGACAAAACCATTTCTTTCCTAAATTTTTCTAAGTTTCTGTAAATGTGGTCATAAAACTTTGATCAGAAAGCTATACTTTGCTTCTTTGTTGTGCAATGATTAATTTGTAAAAAGAATCTTACCTATAACAATGGGTCTTCAAGAATAATGGGAATGTGCTCTGAGTTTTTTCAAGACGCACCCAGAAAATATCATTCCCTGTGGATTATGTATAATTTTCCTTGAATCTATCATTTCCTAAAAATGCCATGTGCCCCAGAGTCCTGTGAGTGCCGTGAATGTTGTTTTATATGATTCTCGCTTCTGTCCCTTTGCCCAGTGTTAAGCCACTGAGTAAAACTAACTCGGTGTGATTATTGTGTATCAGAAGTGGATTAACACAAATAATTCAAATCAGCAAGCACGCAGACTTTGCATAGCGATTATATTATTATGTGAAGTGTTTGTTTCTGTCATAGGCATATGGTCTGGGTTGTGCTATGACATATATTGACTGATGTGTGTAGAAGTCAAGCGAGTTTGAAAGCCATCATCACAGGGCACTGGTTCTTAACTTCTGTGCACAGTGGAGTTGGCTGCAGAGCCGTGAACACCAGGCTCCACTGCAAGGGAGCTGCATGGACCTATGGGTGACGCTGACTTCAAACCTCTCAGATGTTCAGATATGCAGCAGGGCTGACTGAGAACCCTGAAGAGTTGAGGCTTGTGGTCAGGTTCTGCAAGGACTTTCAGTGCCTGCCTTAGGATTGTTGCAGGTTATACAGGAATAGAGGAGGCCTGAGGTGTAGAAATATTTCTGCCCTGAGGGAAGGTGCAGGACCCACACCCCACACCCCCCCAATGTTCATGGATGTAGGCCTCAGGCAGCTCGGGTAGACAAAAGGGTCAGGAGGATTGGGAGGTGAGAGATCCAGATGATCTGCCTCTTCTGAGTAGTTACACAGCCATTCCACTCAGCTTGTGGACATCCCCGGGTCAGCATGATGTGACCCCTGGAGACTGCTCTTCCCTGGCTGGACTCAGTTTACACACAGCTCTCACTAGTATATGACTTCCCAACAGCTAGTCAGCACCAGGGGCAATTATTGACCTGTTCTCTCATGTGAGCAGCTTCAGAAGTCGAGCCTTGTGACCAAGTTCTACAAGTACTTTCAGTGGCTGCCTTTGCCTGTGTGATTATTAAGGCAACTTAGTTCCAGCAAAACAACATCATTCACTGCATTCAATGAATCGAGTTACTTTTCTTGGTATTGGTTTATAGTCTTGTTCTTCTACAATTTGTAACTGTGCTTGATTTTATAAGAGCAAGATATAGGGCGCTTCTACTTGGTTATTTTATTTGCACAATGTATTTAATACTATAATATAAACAGTGCAAGGGAAGATGCACTAGAATTTTTGTCCTTCAGTAGGATAACTCTACATTAATGATTCCTTTGCTCTGTATTATTTGTGCAGCTTATCCCAAATTCAGTGTAAATTAAATCCAATTTCTTACCTATTACTAATGATTTGTGTTACAAACAGCGTGTGAGAGGCCACTCAGACACAGGCTTTGTGAGAAAAAGCTTTGTTCCTGTCCAGATGCAAACAGGAACTGAAATGGGGGGGGTGCGGATTTCAGCAGCTATCTGGGAAGAGCCAAATTTATTTCATCTGTGTGTGGATGGGCTGACATAAGGAGAAGGATATCAGCAGCTAGCTGGGAGAGAAATTAAGTTCATATAGGGCTTGAAAAGGGGGCTACAATCTGAAGTGTACTGTTTATGATTGAGAGTCCAAGGACAGTCTGTGCAGGTGTGCAGATAATATTGGGCTCTTTGGTGCCTGGGAAATTTTATACTCCATCCTAAATTTTCTTTATGGCCACATGTCCTAATTGCTGAAATTCGCCTGTTGTTTGCAAAGAACAGTGTGTTTGCTGTGGAGGTCTCATTCAGGCCAGCCATGACAATTAGAAGGTGTTATAAATAGAGCCGCCTAAATTCTATGGAGATTGTGTTCTCCTAGTTCTGTGTGTGAAGTAGGAGTTGGAGGAAAACCCAGATCAAGAAGGAAAGTGGAAAGTAGGCATGGTAGCTGGAATGCACTTGTTGTCCCAGTTGCTCAGGAGACTGAGGCTGGAGGATCACTTGAGCTTGGGAGTTTGCCAGCCTGGGTAACAAAGACTACTTTTTTTAAAACAGGAGAGAGAAAATGGGATATGAAATATTCCTGGAAAAAGTGATGATGATAATGACGAAGATAGTGACGATGTTGAGGTTGACGATGACAATACTGGTAGTGGTGATGTTGTCGGGCTTTCTGGTACTAGAGTCTCCTGTAGGTGATTTCTAAGTTCTTCCCGTCCTGAACAAAGAATTGAACAAAGCAAGCATGAATATTGGCAAGGTTTCATATTTATTAAAAGCAGGAAAAACAAGCTCTGCAGAGCAACTTTGGGCCAAGTAAAAATAGGAAAAAGGGAGAGGAAAAATACACCCCCTGGCACAAGGTGGGCTACCCAGAAGAGACACCACTGTCGTGAGCACTTACAGCCAAAGTCTTTTTTGAATTTCACAGCTGGCTTCAGATGGAGCTCATCTTTTTTTTTTTTTTTTTATTGAGTTTATTGGTACATTTAGGGATACAGTACAGTTACATTCATTGTTGGGATCATGTACCTTTACATGGCAAGTCTTGATTCTCATTTTTTCCCCTT